AAAAATAAAATCGTTATTAAAAATGAAGAAAATGATTTATCATGATAATTATCTTTTTTATTTTGTTCACATTTAGGTAATTTCTATTTTTTGTATACATTTAAGCATTTAAATTGTTAAATGTGTTCATATACTACTATTGTTAAATGTGATAGCTGGTAAAAATATAATATGTGAATACATTTAACAAGTTAAATTATCAAATATTTACAAAAATAATTACCTAAATATGAACAAGAATAAAATGTAATTATCCTCCAAAGTCATTTTCCCTTTCAAAACCACAAATAATTTTTTTTTTCGGTTTTCTTAAAAACTAAAAAATCAGTTCAAAAACCGAAAGAAATATGATGATAAAATCCCATAACAATGGATGTCTATAACTTTTGATACATTTATTTAGACAAAGTCACAAAGTCAGTCCCTGCTAATTTTTTTTACGAACATGGTCCCTAAGATTTCCAAAACCTGTATGAATGACACTTTTTACTGACGTTGTTACCGTTCATCCATTACTGTAAGGGTATTTTGGGCTTTTCCAGTAGCACAGACTGCGTTTGTGATCTTTGGTAAACCATAGTAATTTTTCTATATTTTATGTTTATGAGTTTTTGGCTTTTCCGTCCCTTTACATTTTAAAAGATCACTTTGAACCCTTCACTTTGAACTTTGAAAAATGTTCCTTTCATCCTTCTATTTTCTAAATTTTTGTGTTTAACCTAGTATTATATATAATTTGATTTTTATTAATAATTTTTGTTCGTTAACCTAAAAAATCTATTTTTATGTGTTTGTTTTTTTATATAATTGTCGGTATAATTCAAGGTGATCAATGTTTCGACTTTAATTTAGAACTTCCTTTCATTATTTTTTTTTAAAAGTTACATGTTTTTTTTTATAAAATTGTCGGTTTAAATTCTAGTCTGTCTATGTTCTGAGTGTGCGTGTTTTTTTTTTTTTTTTTTTTTTTTTTTTTTGTAAGTTTTTGTACTTAACTTTATGTACATTTCTTACATATGAGACAGGTCACATATGATAATTTTCTTTTGTTAATTTTAAAAAACGTATTATATTCGAGTTTGTCAACGTTTCGAAGTAATTTATATATTATTTATTATTTACATTTTTGTGTTGAGTTTTATATACATTCTTACATATCATTCGGACTATGTATAATAAATAACGTAAAAATATGTATTATCATCGAGTTTGTGTATGTTTCGCAAAACGTATTTTTTAACGTTTTTGTGTTTAATTTTATGTACGTTTTATATGTATGACTCGGGTCACATATTATAAATTTTTTATTATTTAAGATTTAGTTCATTAACTTAAAAAGAAATCTTACTTACTTATTTTTTGTAACAACGTAAATTTTAAACCAAAATTTTCCATTTAAAAACACATTAATCTCAATAATAAAATCACAAAGTGCCACAATGTTAAATTATCAAATCTCATGTCCAGGAAACCATACATATATCGAATCTCGGATCCTTCAACCAAAACAAATCTTCAAGGTGAGTGTGTTTACAATCAAGTCGGTGCCTTCCCGCGATCCTAAGAAGTACCTGAAACATATAACTCATAACACGGTACACACGAACCTTAGTGAGTTGCCCAAAATACCACACACATCAAATTAGCCACTCGAGTCTAACTCAATACGACCATCTGGTCAATGTGTTCCACTGGAGACCCTCCGGCCAACTCGGGTGGACCCTCTGGCCTAACTCACTAAGTTCATAACAATAAGCATAAACCACAAAGACAAAACGTAAAGTTCACAATACATATATAAGTATAGTGAGAAGAATCACATCGTAAGTTGTCAAGTAAAAGTATCGTACTCGGAAATCTCGAACTATCATCCGCCTAACACACATGATAATTATCTCTAATTAATACTCTACTCATACTCAAATACACCAAAGGTTGTTCTCTCTTTCTTTCTAACTCTTGGAATGGGTAAAAGACCATTTTACCCCTCTATGGTCTCCTTTACTCATGCTGACCAAGCCCTAAAGTTCACAGAAGTGAAACTCAAGTCAACAATCCAAGTTTGACCTGACTCAACGAGTGCATTCTTGTGACTCATCGAGTCCACTCACTCCTCAGAAGTCTCGTGAAGGTCCAACTCGTCGAGTTAACCCCTAACTCGTCGAGCTATAGCATGACCAACTCATCGGGACAAACCCTAACTGACTCGTCGAGTCGGCTCATCGACTCGGCAAGTCCATTCAGACCTAAGTCTTAAACAAATTATTTCAAGGCAGGAAACCCTCTCATACTCTAGATCTAAGCTTTCTAGGCTTGCTTATCACGTAAAGCCACAGGCTTTACGTTCATGTATGACACTTAGGGCTTAAGATGCCAAAAACATGCTCTATTAAGGGTTTTTCACTCAAGGCTCTATTATGGCTAAATAAAGCAGGGACCTTTGGACTCTATGGACCTCACAAGGTCTAGATCTGAAGTCCAAATCTCTATATGTGTCTAAAACACTCAAAGTCCCAATATTAGATAGAAAAGAAGCCCTAAACTCAAAATAATATGAGATCTACCCAAACTAATGAGAAAGGTATGAACTTTATACATTTAACAGAAACTCTTTGGATGAATAACAACAGATCTAACAACCTCCTTTTGCTCCTTGCTTGAAATCCTTCTATTCTCTTCCAAAGATGCACCAAAATACTCAATATTAGCTCATACACTATCTCTATTAGCTCAAGGGCGATAAGGGTTTCTCTCAGTGAAGGAAAACAATTGATGAGCCGCAAATGAGGCTATAAGTGCCCTTAAACAGGCCCCAAACCAGGGGAATTAGGGTTTTCTTCACAGCGTCTACTCGACGAGTCGGCTCTTTGACTCATCGAGTAGATCATGAATCCCACGTGGCACATCGCGACTCTACTCGACGAGTTGTAGCACCAACTCGTTGAGTAGCTCAATAGTTCTCAAAATAAATAAATAAATAATATACTTGAAAGTCAGGATGTTACATTTTTATCAAGGTTCTAAAAAGCTCGTCATGGCTCTAAGGTTTGCACCTGCCGCCAAGTTATACCAAAACGTCGATTTAACTCATATACGTCTATAAAAATGAATAATATCTGAATATATATATATATATATATATATATATATATATATATATATATATATATATATATATATATATATAAATATTAATTATGTAGAAAATTTTTGTCTTATGTCACGCCTTACAAACGTTGTGGCCCGTCAAGGCTTGAAAAAGTTTGAGGCTTGATATTGCCTCCAAGTCATGCCTTATGTTATTTAGAACCGTGATTTTTATGCACGTGTCGATATAAATTTGAGTTTTTATTTTTCTTTATTTTTTATGTTTCGATTTAATTTTTTTATACGTTTTGGTGCTTATTTTATGTATGTTCCTATGTATAAGTGTGTTCACATACTAAGTGTGAGACTCATGTATTACATGAGTTAATTAAAAAAATTAAATATCAGAATATAAATATTAAGTATTTTTTAAAATTAAAAGTTAAAATAAAGAAGGAAAAATATATTTATTGTAATTTAAGATCATATTTATTACATTTAATACTTTACTTATATAGTTATATGTATTATGTGGCTTTTTAATTTTAAAAATTAAAAAAACCCTAGAAATTTGCATGTGGATATTATTTACTTCAAAAATACCACAAAATGACAAGTGTCAAAACTCATAAAAGATTGATATGTGGCAAAATGAATCTTTATTTATTAGAGTAGTAATAGATAAAAACGTAATTATCATCATTGAATTTTGTAAATTGAATTTGACGATTGTATTTATAAAAGTTATGTTTAGACGTAAATAGACACAAACGAAAAAAGAAACACGTACATAAAAATAAGCATGAAACATAAAAAATTACGTCAAAATATAGATGAACTCAAATCTATATTGATACGTAAAAAAAACATGAAAAAAAGTTAGGTCGAAACATAAACAAATTATAATATAATACATTTTTTTAAGTTAACAAACAAAAGTTATTATACGTGATTTGAATGATATGTAAGAATGTATATAAAATTAAGCACAAAAATGTATAAAAAATACGTCAAAACATAGACGAATTCAAATATAATATGTTTTTTAAAAATAACAAACGAAAATTATTATATGTGACCCGTCATATACATAGGAAACGTATATAAAGTTAAAAAAACCATGTTGAGACGTTGAAAAATTCGAATTTAAACTGAAAAACTTATAAAAAAACCATATAACTTTTTAAAAAAAAATTAATGAATGAAAGTTCTAAATTAAAGTCCAAACATTGACCACTTTAAATTATACCAATGAATATATGAAAATAAACACGTAAAATAGTTTTTTTAGGTTGTTAAATGAAAGTTCTTAATAAAAATCAAATTATATATAATACAAGGTTAAACACGAAAATTCAGAAAAATAAAGAAGTGAAAATAATATTTTTCAAAGTTCAAAGTGAAGTGTTCAAAGTGATATTTTAAAAAGTAAATGTGTGTAAATGCCTCAAACTCATAAACATAAAATATAGAAAAAAACTACATATATTGTCCATATGATTTATCCATAATCACAAATTCAATACCTACTAACATTGAAAAAACCAAAATATCGTTACACCAATAGATAAACAGTAACACAATGTCAGTAAAAAAAAATCATTCAAGCAAGTTTTGAAAACCACAGAAATCATGTTCATCAAAAAAATTAACGGGATTGACTTTATGATCTTTGTGAAACCATAAGGATCATTTTTATAATTTTATCATTTATTTATCATTATCCATGATTAGGTGCACAACCGTACGCAGTCAGTCAATTCAAAGAACATGAACTCTATCAATTTCAATTTCAACACGCGTAATGGGACTAATAATTCCAATAAAGTATAATAAAATAGTTGTAAATAACTTGTCATTATTACAAAAGGATGTGAAATATTCGTAAGATATCCCATATCACAAAATGAAAACTACAAACTTAAGGGATTAACAAGAAGAGATTTAATGTGGTTGATCATTTCTTTTCCAGCATGATTGTAATCATCACCTCGTCTATACAGAACATCACAAACACGAGTGAGGTTGATCGGAGGCATAAGTAGAGGCCTCGGGACATCGGTCGGCCTTAGCGACTCTTTATTTATGACTTTCCACTCATCTTCGACTTGTTTCGTGAATAATTCATGTGTGTACTCCTCAGTGACACCGTATTGTTTCATATAGCATTCGACGCTTGAAGCCACATGGTTTCTTTCTTGTTCCTCCTGCAATTATGTTACCACATTAAGTATCTTAGTTTGTTTTTAGTACTTGTAAAATGAATCTTGGAGTTTCACTTGTTATAACTATATATACGTACCTTGTGTGTAGCAACATCGTCCATGAGCCTTAGAATCAAACACGAAGCTTTGACAAGAGGAGGATACGTGGATACCCATTTGAACGTTTCCTCGGTGACCGTATCATTGCTATGCACATAACATTTTGCGATAATCATGGCGTAGGCACAAGTTACCAAGGTAACAGACCTATGTTCCTCTACAGTTGGAGTATACCTCTCGTTTACCCATTTGGCTTCAATTAAGAGATTTCGAGCGTACTCTTTCACCTAAATGAACGAGAAAATTAGTCATTAAAACGAATTATAGAAACCAAATGGAGTATGTACAGTTTACCATCTCTTTCGTATAGTAGCAGCGATATGTCTGTCCCTTCTTTTCTAGCAACTCTTCAGCTTCTTTATAAACGTCAAGAAGTTCTTTATATATCAGTTTCATGTACTCTGGAAGCATATCCAAGCAGCTCATCGACCATCTAATGTAATTCCATCACAATAACCAATAAGTTACGACCATCGAACGATGTATATATGTATGATATTGTATCACGTAGAGTCAAATTAATGTCAATTGCATACCTTTGAATGGCTTCAGTAAAGATCTCGAGTTCTTCATAAGTACCATAATTATCGTACGTGTCATCCAAAATTATTACAAGATTGCATGCTTTCATTAGAAAAATCCTGGCGTCGGAATGCTGAGGCTCGAAATAGACTGCCAATATCCAAAAGTAGCCTTCAACTATTCTATCTCGAACATAAGGTAGATTTCGTGACACATCCAAATCCTTCCACCATCTAAACATATACACATAAAACGTACGTGAGAATAACAAAAATTAAGGTCATTGAGATATATACAAATTAATTAAAGAAACGATATATAGAGGTTGTTTATTTAATTTACATACTTGCTTATTTGACTAAGCTCCTTTCGATGCAAATCCTGGAGCAAATTGAAATCTAACTTGGCAAGTTTTAGCAAAGCATCGTTATGAGAAGCTTCCTGTTGGTAGATAGGTATATAACGTAACGCCTCTAGCCTCGGCAACCTTTTCCGAAGAGGTTGTTGTAGGGCTTGATGTATTTGAGCTTCAATTAGGGAAGTGTGATTTTCGAGTATGTTGGCAAGATGGTAGGTCGTAAACGCGAGTGCTTCATCTAAAACTTGTTCCCCTTCCACCCTCATGTATGCTGCTTCGTACAAAGAAAGCATGCCTTGAACATCATCTTTCATGGACTCCATGAAACTCCCGTCGCTGTTCTTGTACTTGTTGAATATTCCTGTACGTGAATAGGGAAAGTATCGCAAACTAATTACACGTCAATCTCATATCCTAAAAATCACTAATTTCTATCACTAATTCTGATTTTCTAGTAGTAAATATAGCTGGTGTGAACCATGCACTATACCGCTTGAAACATTGAAGCCTTGTTGTCGTAGTAGTCTGAACCATAGTGAAGTTCCTTGGAGATCGTTATCATTGATCCATAGATCCCCATGGCCATACGAAACGTATATATGATTTAGACATTCTTCGATTTCCTTTTCAAAATGATATGCTACACCAAGGCGTTGGACCGCATCAATAAGTTCTAAAAGCTTCCTATGTTGTGTGGTGATAATTAGCATTTTGCGCACTTCTTCTTTAAGTTCGTTGGCTAGTTGCTCCTCCCATTCTCGATCCTTTCTCTATAGGCACGATTAAAAACATTAACGCGACATTAATATATTAGATCTTAATCTCTCGTTGGTAGAGTTAGTAATGATATATATATACAAACCTCTTCATACATGAGAAACTGATCTCCCCAAATGCTACGATGGAAGCTCACTGTGTTGCGGATAACGACGTCTTGTTTAATACTTGCACTACGTTCGAGGGGAGAAGCAAAAGAAGTCATATCTTCAATTCTAAAGATGATTTATGATCAAAAGGTGTCCCTATATAATGTACGTTAGTAGGGAAATCGCTGCTGTTTGACAAATGAACAGTTGTGTTGTGAAGAGAAGAATGGATATAAAAAGTGTATATATAGGCCCCTGAGTCAGCCAGTCAGGACGACTTAAGCAATTAAGCCAGGGGATGGCTGTTAGACCTGGTCATTGGACCAAAGTGTCGATTAATGTCAAGAGACCAAAGTAGTAATTCTACATTTACCAATTGCACATAGTTGGCATGGGACAAACCATTCTTTTCCCATCAAAATTCAACTGTTTTACCAACAATATAATAATATGTTTACCATATCTAGCCAATTTCATGTCACAGTTAAATGGACAAAGCATCCTTTTTAAGAAAAAATAAATAAGAGGTACTCAACAATTATTTTAGGAATTTTTTAATATGTGAATTATAAGGAATATTATCATAACTAAATATAGAATGTATTGATTATAAGAAAATATTTTTTATTGAAAATTATTAAATTCATTAATTATATAGAATATTCTTTATAATTATAGATAATTTTCTCTATAATTAATGTAATTCATTTTTAATTATGATAATATTTCATATAATTAATGATTCTTATATGTATCTTTATAAAACATGTTAGAAAATCTCATTATTTTAGATAAGGGATTAATCATGTTAACCAATTATTTTAATATTTTATTCTAGTGATTAAAAATTAGTTATTTTATCTTTATAAAATTTTATAATTATGTTTATTTCCTTATAAATTTAAAATTACATGTATATTGTTATAAAATCATACTCACATAAATACTCAACTATTTAATTTAATCATAATTAATATATTTAAAAACTAAAAACATTGTCTTTAAATATATGTTTTATTATTGAAAACCTAATTAACTTGTAACCTTACAATATTATCATTCTCCTAAACATCTCAAACATGTCCATAGAAATTTGGATGTAGCCGGTTGATAACAAAGTTGGGGTTAATATTGTTGGATTAGTGTCTAAATCCATAACTATTTTGGTATGTACTTGACCTGATAGTGCATGGTCATTTTGGGTTGCCTTTACCAAAGCAACTTGATAGGATAAATTATGGAGAGAAAGGATTAAATATGATTTATTAATATATTATGAGAATAATATATTAAAGGAGAAATCATATTGTTTAATTAATATTAGTCAATAATTAATTGGTAATTAGTTTTGTGACTAAAAGAGATTAATTAAACATAAGGGACTGGAATTGTAATTATAAGATAATTGCAATTTGGGCCATGGATTGCCTTGTATTAAGGAGTGGACGAATTCTATGGGGGAAGCCCATATGAAATCGTCCAAGGCCTTGAGGAAAGGGCTCCATGGGTTGCTTAGGGCTTAAGCATCCAAATTAGGGTTTCCTTGTTAGATAACCCTAATAGCCTTACTATATATAAGACTCTTATGACCTAAAAACGTGGCTAATGATCTTTCTAGGGTTTCACACGTTTTTGGGCAGCCTCCATACTCTCTCCTCTTCATCCTCTTGCTTATGGTGTTTGTGAACCATTAGAGGAGTGACATTTGTGACTCTAAGCTTTCTAAAGTCAATACAAGGAGGAATTGAGATTGTTATTGCTACATAACAATCAAGGTATGATCTAAACCCTAAGTATATGTTATATTGATTATCATATGTTAGATCTAGGGTTTATAGTCTTGGATAACTTGCATGTACAATAGAGAAACCTAGATCCGAGCAATAGGGTTTGTATGAGCACATAGGATGTTCTTACGACCAAAACCCAATAGTGGTATCAGAGCCTAGACTGGTTTCAATTGTATTGATGCATTACATGTTAAAAAAATCGTTTTTTTGGTGTTTTGGAGGCTGGACTCGCCGAGTCCATGCAGACTCGACGAGTCAACTCGTCAGATGGAGGGTATCTCAGGTTTTCTTGCTGTTTTTGCTTATGGATAGTTACCTTATCATGTTAGATCAATATTAATCCGATTATATGATATATTTGACTATAATTTTGATCTAATTGAAGATATTTATCAATTAATAAGATAATTGTTTCCTTATGTGATAATTGATTAATTATTTTGAGTAAATTGATAAATTGTTTTGCAAGAAATCATTAAATAAATCAAATATGGATAATTATGTGATTAAATGTTAATTTGAATTATTTGTTATTTGATCCTTGTTGTTATGAAAAGTTTCATATTTTTCCCTTTTAGGTTTTATAGTTTAAATTTGAACCCAAAGGTTTTGTAGTTTTGAAATTTAAATAGTTAAAACCCTAATGTTTTGAAAAAAGGTTCAAAACTTGTCCTCAAGTTTTGGAATTTAAATTTTGATTAAATAGTTTAATTTTGATGTATATTTAAATTCTAAACCCTAATGTTTTGAAATGTTTCAAAACTTGCCCTCAAGTTTTGGAATTTAAAAGTTGATTAAAAGTTTAATTAGGAATGTTAAATTCTAAAACCCTAGTAATGTTTTGAAAAGTTCAAATCACACCCTTATGGTTTTATTAATTAATTAAGGTGTATAATTAAAAAGGTTTAATAAATCCATAAAAGTTTAGGTTTACAATTTAATTGAATTAAAAGTATAATTGTTAAATTTGACCACCTAGTATTTTAAAAGTGTAAAATACACCCTATACTATATATAACATTAAAAGTCTAACATTATATATATGTATGAGTAAAAGTCAGTCTTACCGTTAGTAGGCCTCATTCACGAAGCTGATCTATAAGGGGTGTTTAAGGAAATTGCCTATAATATGGCGATTGAATGGGTATCCACTCTTACCCACCGCACTCTTGACTAGTGGAGGGTCGTTAGCCGAACGGGTAGGATAGGACGAAACCTTCCATTATAAGTATAATGAAATACAAAGTAACTAAATGTTTTTCAAATTCCCAATCTTAGTTACTTAGGCAAAAGTGAATTGATGCAATTCCATGAAATTACACTTTGTGCCCTTGCGAAGACGTTAGTGGAGCGTGTGTGGTTTACCGGCACACTAAATGGTTCTAAGCAAAGGTAGCAAAGGGTGACTCAATGTTTGTCATAGTTCGGTGGAGCGTGTGTGGTTTACCGGCACATCGAATAGGTGATGTAACATGTGAGGGCACCATGTAAGTTTGCATGGTTATTCACACCCGCTTTGTGATCCTCGGCATCCCAGTCACAAACAAGAGGGGCATATCGAGATTTAAACATGCCATTGAAATGTTCAATGAATCTCAAAGGATCTAGGAGTTTTCATAGATTTAAAACTTAAATTTTTTTTCGTTTTTCATGGTGGAAATTAGTGAATCGTCATTCACTTACCTTCAAATATTCTGCAACTAGATTACGACATCCCTTTTCTAGGTTGTAGCGTATTGTGTTGGGTCCTAGCCTTAGTATCTCATTTGGGTGATTTACTAAGGACTCAATCGATCAACTAACTTGAATTTGTTTTCTCCCGTTTTGTAGATGTCAAAGTTCGACAACTATGGTCTTCCCAAATCCCGTGGAACAAGCATTCCACATGAAGATGGTATTCCACGATTCGATCGAGGAACAAGAAATCATGCTTCACTTCCTCCACCTCCTCCAATTGTTCTCCCTAACCCACAAGATCGAAGAATTGAAAGGTTCAATATCACTAAGCCCTATTGGAAATGAAACATGAAGATGGTAAATCCGTGTGTGCCCACGTTCTAGGAATGAAATCACACATTGATAGGTTGATAATGTTGGGTGTGTCATTCCCGAATGAGTTGGCTGTAAATTGGGTTTTGCAGTCACTTCCTGAATCATATAATGAGTTCAAAAGAAAGTATTATATGATGGATCATGACGACAACCTCATTGACCTAACTTACATGCTCATTGCTGCTGAATCAGAAATGATTTGGCGAAGCAATGGAGCGTATTTGTTGGGAAAGTCAACCGACCATGCTTCCGAGGACGTTCTAGAGAACCGACCTGCGTTTGCTGCCAAGAGAAAGGGCGTTGGATAGAAGTCTGCCCCAAGAGCCTGAAAATTCCAAAGATGGGAGAGTCAAAGAGTATGACTGCGCTTCAGGTAAAATCCACTATCTAACTCGTTAAGTTCCTATTCATTGATTAATACATGATGTGATAAGATTGCATTTGAATGTTTTGCAGGATCGGTGAAAAGAAAGGAAGCTTGGTGAAAGAGCAAGATGAATCTAATCACAAGAAATGGATCTTGATCGCATGGACTTGAAGATTAGATTTTGAGCTTAGATAGTTATGATAGAGTTGTTAGAAATTTTCCTTTTGAAATACATAGTTTTCAATGGATTTTGCATTGTAAGGACAAATGTTTTCCGCTGCTTTTATAAATAAAATAAATTTTGTCTCACTTATTTGTTTGTTTATTTCCTTGCAATGAAATCGTTATGAAAATTGGTGTTTGCATATTTCTACAACAAATGGATATGATTCTTATTTATGGTGTTTATGGAAAAGTCGAGAATTTACCAAATAGGGAGAGTTTCTCATCGCCCAAGTTTCAATTGGACAGAAATTTGGAATCACGCAACTTGGTTGCATGATGAATGAGAAATTTCATATTTGGAAATTAGACTAATTCGTTGACAAAGTGTCAAGTGAAGGACTAGGAGATCGAGCACACAAAGTTGTGTGTTGATCAAGTCCACCATAAGAGTAACAAAGATATTCGTCATGATTTACTAAAGGTTTAGTAAATATGATTATACTTATAAGATTAAGTATAATTCGGAATTGATTAAAAAGGTTTAAATCAATAGCAAAACGAATAAGAAGAATCAAGTAGGCAGAAAGATAAAAGTTTCTCCATTCTAAGAAGAAGGGAGAGTACCTTTTATGCTTTATGATAGGTCTTAATGATTAAGAACCATATCTCAATTGATCCTCTAAGTGAGTCTTAGTACAATTGTTTGTTTAAGAAAAGGAATCAAGAATTGAAGAAATGGTTA